TTATTATCCAACCATATAGAATTCAAATAAATAATAGTCAGAGATGGCACTAAGTTACGTAGTTCAACGTTTAACTGAACAGGCAAAAATTTTTTAATTTCCTATTAATCTTCCTGAACATTTGAAAAATATGATCTTATATAAGTTTTTATATGAGACTTATCGAGTAAAAAATGTACTTAAAATGTTATTCCCTACATGGCAGAAAAATAATTACTTATGTAAGTTCCTATGATCTATACTAATCGTTTACCCATCTGTTATAACATATAGCATAATAAACTTAATATTTAATATTTTAAATATTATGAGTAATCAAACTGATCAAATGTCTTGTAAAAAAACTATGTATACAATATTATAGTTCGACAACCACAAATAAACGATCGATGTAAGATTAATATACGATTGTCGATTGATGTATATGAACTAACATAATTTGTTTTCTGTGTAGGAACTTACACATACAACTATTTCCGCCGTTCAGAAACACTAGAAACTTACAAATTTGCTATCATTTTTACTATAGTAATCGACTAGTTAACTTAATATTCACCAGCCAATAATTAGTAACATGGTTTTTTTTTTTTTAATTTAACTTATGCAATAAAAAAATTAAAATTATTATTACTGTAAAATATATAATACACTTTAACTCTGATTATAATTATTTAAGAACTCCATATCCTTGAATTATGAAGTAAATATTTAAATATTTAATACCTAGTATTTTTATATTACATGTACTTTCACTATTCTTTTTAAAACAAGTATTTGCCACATAGTATAAATTGTATTATATATTCCGATATCGTTATATGACATATACTACTGCAAGTGTAGTATAAAAGCATAACAATGACGTATTTTTGTGCAAGCATATTATATTACGATCGAAAGCTTATATTATACTATCATAAAAAATGCTCTTTGTACGTTTATTCAAACATTAAAATAGATTAATATTAATTTGTAAATGAAAAATTTGAGAAGAAGATAAAGTAATATGCACTAATTATTTTTGTTGGATATAACAAGTCAAATTTAAAGTTAATAAAATCTTAAAAATCTGAATTTAAATAATTTTTTGGGATGGCGCCCTAAAATTAACGTTTCATCATTGTGCACCTATAGTCTATACTCCAAACCGTTTTGTTATTATTATGACGAAATATAATTCAACGAAAAACTAAAATCTAGGACGTATTACACTGAACTCATTTGTTTCGGTCTGATGATCATCCTGGACCCAAATTGTTTTTAATCATTATTCGTTGTTTATACGAATGCGCATAATATGATAGAGTTTTCTCTTGACTCCCGCATGCGTTGAGAAATACTAAATTCTTCAAAATGCCCAAGAGAAACTATAATAATTTAGTTGTATCAATATCCGAACAAGCCACAACCTGCAAGAATCACTAGCCAAAATACTAAACAATCACC